CATTCCTTTGAGCAATTAATATGACTTGTTGTCGCCACCCAAATAAAGTTCGAGCAACAGAGTTAAAAAAAGATGGGCGAACTAACAAGGAATCTAGCGGAATGTCAGTATCTTGCTCTCCTCATCGAGAAGAGGATACTGAGAAAAATGTTCATCCTCATTTTTGAGATCTCACCACTCTACGGCTTGTGGGTTGTGTGGCTTCGGCGCGACTACAAATAGTATTTATTCTGTCCTCTTGAAACGTATTGCTTTTGCTTTTCTTTTCCCAATTAGCCTACTTGGGATTCTTGTTCGTACGAAAGCGATAAAAAAATCCGATTTCTTAAGCTAACCGAAGTGTTTCTCGCAAGATTATCGTTGATTTGCATGTTGTATAATTCAATCAGTAGGTTAATCAGCTTCAGATAACCTCATAAAATGATGATTAAACCATTCAAAGTGATTAAAACGGTTGTTGGAAGCTAAGCAGGTGTGCTCTGAGAAGAAGTAAAAGGAAAACGAAGAAGAAGAAGAAGAAGCTGAAAACCAGTTTTAAGCTTTCACAGACTATTGCGCCATTCGATCTAAATCAGGCTATCCGAGAGTTATGACGCAGTATTTGTCTCTCTGTGCCTACAGTTAGCATAAAGGACCGATATGAGCGCATATGAATGGATTTTTTCCTACTCGTGCTCATAATTTTTGGGTAGGAAAGCCTCGAGAAGGCTTCAGGCCTCGCGAAGTCTAGCAAAGAATTGGGGTACAAGTGACTGGATACCAGAAATAATACGCAGCCGGATGCAAATTGACTCGAGCTGCTCATACGAACGAACGCAGTCATCCTTCACAGTCATGGTAACCATGGTGAATGAGAGGAAGCGATTTCAGCCTGAGCTAGGATGCATTAGTTAACGTTTCTAAGCCATTAATGTTGGTTGTACGCAAGAAGAGGACTGAATTAAAAGCAGTATTATATGGTAAAAATTGAGGTTCATTAAAAGTTGAATGGCACAGTTGCTAGAGGTAGGATCTAGGCGACTTGAGATTCAACGATAAAACTGTGTAAAATATGTAAAATGACGTACAGGAAAAGGAGCAAGTAAAACGGAACTGTTAAAATCCAGTAAAAACAGACAAATAAGGCGTTAAAACTGAGCGATTAAAACAATCCCGAACGAGGGTATTAGGATTCGGAAACAAAGGCGCAAACGGAGCAGTTAATTGCCGATTTGATTCATCAACGCTTTATGCCGCCCAGCGCTGACATTTATGGTTCGTCGTA